TACAGTTTGTAAAATTGATTGATTGATCATATATTGTTTAACAATTCTAGTCTCAAACCCCAAAGGCCTCTTTTCACTCTTTTAGCATCTAAGCAGTCTTAAAAACAGTTTCCATGTGGGGATTCATAGCATAGATTCATTCCCTTCGTTGCTATTGAATTTACAAAACATATGGAGATAACGAATAGTATTCAATGTCAAAAGTCCATAAAACAATACAAAATAGGAGCGGAGCAAACACAGACCTCTCAAACATCGGATGTAGAATCAGATGCCATAGAGGAGTGAGCATCCCCTGCTGACCTGCCACATCCGCCGTGTGCTCCTAGTCATGATCGGGAAATAACAGTAAAATTTGTCGTCAATTCAGCGTGTAAATAATAGACTAACAATTGGTATGAAAAAAAATCAGCTTTTGACTCAATATTGTATTTGCTGACAAAGTCATTGTATGGACCATAGAACTTACAAAATGATGACCTTAAACGAGGCTGCTGATATTCTTGTTTCATCAACGTGTTTGTCATGAATAATTTACTACGTTTTAGAAATTGTTCATACGCAGAGCATGCTCTTGCGTATCGAATCAACTGAGATAAAAAATCTCCGTATACACGTATGAAGATATTTTGTTGCATAAATAAGGGAAGTTGACGAAAGAAAAGTTAAAATCATCGTGTTTATCATAGAGCTTGATTGTTAAATTACCGTTGATGTCTTTTTTCAAGTAAAATACGAAACAGTGTTTCAGATTCGGTGGTGTTTTTTTAATTTCAAGACCAGGATATATCGTATGGACATAAGAATGTTGCTTTATCTTGTGAAACCGATTTCTTGGAAATTAAGTTTGTCAACATCTATTAGTTCTTACTATGAAAAGAAATAAGAATTCATACTCGTTTGTAAGGTGTCAAGATATTTGTTATTTCAAAATTGCCTGACCAAAGACATGTTTACTTAAAAATATAGATCTTTGGCATCCTCCAGATTTCGGCTGTTGAATGGGATTTTTGCTCTAGGTTTGTAAAGGATACTAATTGACTATATATGTGTAATCTTTCATGTCTAAGACTTTTAACAATCTGTGTGAATTCACATATGTACGAATTTTGCTTATTTTTGAGTGGAACTTTTTTTTCATGAGGCAAATACTAGTATTTAAAAAAAACTATGACATGTTAAGAGGAATTCTCTCTCTCTCGGTTGCCTTCAGTTTGACCCATGAATATGTCAACGACTTTGTATCAATTGAATATATATTTTTTTTACTCAATCTTTTAGAAAATAAAATAAAATCGACAAAAAATGCTCGAGAGTCAATAACATTAAATTGTACATCTTTTTAAATGAATTATACAACCATCCCTCACTATAAATAAAAAAGTAGGCTTTAAGTTATCATCAAGATGATTGTTTTTCAATAAAAAAGACTAAATTTGAAATGCAGAAATTTTCTTCTCCTCTGATTGGTTATCAACAAAATTACCTTGTTAAAAGTTGCTCTTATCCTACACAAAAGTTACTCCCAAATTGATATAAAAAGAATGCTATAGAGTTCTTCATTTTCAATACCTATGTATAATTTTCTGAGATAATGTCTTCAAACTACCAAAAAAATCTCTATTTTACTTTAAATAAGCGAAATAGAATTCAAATAAATTTCTTTGTAAATTGGGAAAAAAATTATTTAACATCTTTAAAGTCATTGGAGACGACATTTATAACCAACCTCAATAAACACAAGTAACTTCCATTCATACAAAATGTATGTTGACTAAATATATTTAAGTGAATTTGAAAGAAAAGAAACCACAGAATCTACCATATCTGTATATATTTTAATTTTTACGGTCTATAGACAATATGGTTCAACTAATAACTAAACTGTGTGACAATGAAGATGTTTATTGCTTGAAAAATCATCATCAACTTTTCTACTATGTGTAGTAATAATAATATTCCGTTATAACCTGTATATTTATGATGTTTACATCGATCTCGTTACTTATTCGACACTCAATTTCTTCCTGTAAGTATGATTTTTTTTCAAACCTAGTACTATAGTATGCTTCTGATAAATGTTGATGTTACAGGGATTTAAACTATCTCGTTAAAAGTCTTCATTTTTTAATTTCTATGGTAGTTATAATCATCTTGTTAGCAAATATAAAGTAAATATTTAATTAAAATAAATATAAATTTCATTTAGATACATATACATGTACATCAATGGATAGACTTTTCGGTACACTTAAAAAATGTACATAGGAAAAACTAATTTTATAGAAAATGATATTTTATTAGGATGCATTATATAACAGCTCCTTTTTCAAATAACCATCGCCGCTACACATTCATCACTACTATAAAATAATATACATTATCTTCACAAATTCCTTTGGATGAGACCTTTAAAACCGACACTGTGTCACGGTAGGCATTGACACGATAATATCCCTCACTGCTCAAAGGCCCCAAGTGTCGAGTAAAGGTCTAATCTGAAACCCTTCTGCAGGATATGGTGACGTTCTCCATATGAGTGTAAGTTTCTTGAATGGGACGCAAAACAACATAGAATCAATTCCACTTTCTAGCGTCTCATATAGTTTTGTACATATATACTCGTATGTGCATTAGAACTGTTTTTATGCTCACAGCAGGGAGTTTATGCTCACAAAAGGGAGGTGAATCTTTGACAATTTTTTTCCACTTTATTGTATAAAATCTTAGCAATTGCTTTTCAGTCAAATAAGTTTTTAGGCCAAATTGTCGTTTTTGTTGAATAAAATGGGTGTAAAATGAAAAGATTTTTGTAACATGAAAGATCGATTGCGAGATGCGTGGGTTTTGATGGCTTATTTCAACCCAATTTGTCAACACATTAGACGATTTTAAATCTTTGAAGTGAATGAGTTCTTTATGATACTCTTGATACTGAATCAAGGGATTTTTTTTAACTTTATCAACTTTAAAAGTTAGAGAAAATTATGATAATTTAATACATAAACTCCTGTCCTCCGAGGCTCCTATGTTAAAATTTAAAGATTTTTCAAATACATTAATTTTATATATATTAAAATTTTCATGATTTGATAAATGAAGGCAGGGAGGCCCAACCTTTAAGCCCTGTGGACATAAAATTCACAAAAAGGTAGAGGATTAATTGTCATTAAAAATATATAACGTACAAACAAATTCTGGTCAGTGGGAAAAGAGTTATACCGGGTACTGAGGGAAAGATAAAAATGTTTTTCTTATGAATATAGTCACCTGCGTGGCACAGTAGTTAGAACGTCTGTTCTATAGTCGCGAAGTAAGAAGTCGATCCTTACGTCGCGGGTTTGAATCCCACAATGGGACGCGGAGACCGGTCCTTTGGATGAGACCGTATAAACCGAGGTCCCGTGTCGCAGTAAATGCTGGCACGAAAAAGATCCCTCACTGTTCAATGGCCCTGAGTGCCGAACATAGGTCAAAATTTGTAGCTCTCCACCGGCAAGTGGTGGCGTCTCCATATGAGTGAAAAATCTCGAGAGGGACGTTAAACAAAAAACAATAGTTCAAATCAATCAATCTTTTATACATTTGTTAAAAACTCTTTAAATTCATAATTTCAGGATTTTAAATATTTTTTCCCATATTTTTTGCATGCATGATATGTTCAAGGTTGGTTCTCAAATAGGAAAATTCATTACTTTGCTCTACAAATGGCGGCCAAGAGGAATAATTTTATGCAAAATACGTCATAGAAAAACGTTCTAAATGTCGAGCTGAAGGCCACAACAAGTGTTTTCCACTTTTCATGTACAATATTTTGGACAAATTCTACTTCATTTGAATATAGAAAAAATTCTGCTTATAACTAGACACAATTGGTACCCATGGGAATTCCAATTGTTGGAAGACCTTGTCTCCCAAAATCACATAGATATTGTCAAACAGAATCTCAAGCATCTTTTTTAAATCAACTTCAGAGTACTTGTGTGTAAAATCAGAATGGTTTTGATAAAATAATTTTGCAAATGGCCAATTACAAGGCAAGTAAATTTACCATTTTTATTGAAAAAAGCAGCTGTGAATGATATAAAAAAGCCTTGACTTATTTGGACCTTTATCGTGGGGAATGGTTGTGTATACAGTTGAAAAGTCTTAAGTCTTTAAGCTGTTTATTTTGGTAAAATCTTGTGATTTCAAATTTTCCAGAAGTCCTTGGAATTTTAAGTATCCACATCTGATTTACACCACTTCTCGAATATATTCTTTCACAGTACTCTTGAAGTTTCTCTTTCGTTACTGGTAATATCTTAGCGAGGAGAAAAGGAAGAGGCTTGGTTGAAGATTTACTAGAACCCGCATTGTATCTTTGTTTTTATGAAGTTTCGGAATTCAAAAAAATTCATTTTGGGTGTTATGGATATTAAAAAATATTCAAAACTGACATATGATTTTAAAGAATTTCTTCCTTAGAGAGGGAAATAAGAGTTGAAGATGGATTACCACGTGCACTTTTAAGAGTAAAAACTTCTTTTAAAAAACAATTTATACTTACAAACCAAGACAACGTTATTACCTGCTTTGTCAGCAGGGACTAGTGCGTACTGATCATGTTATCTAATTCTTTTTTTCACTTCTGGATTATTGAATGCAGAATGATAGAGGGTTTTCATATTGCTCCTCAATCATTTAATACTTGATTGTAACATAGATCTGATATACATTAAGTCTATTCTGACAAAGTGTCAATGTCTTCTTTTTTCATATCTGGCATACACATACACAAGGATTCCAAAAATGTATTTTAAGAAGCTTTTGTCATGCACACCTTATATCCCATGGTGCCTGGAACCAGGAGTTCAGATTAACATTCCTTTCAGAGGAGTAATAAATGTCCAAAAGATTATAGATAAGATACGATGACGGGCAAATACGGAATTACAATAGGCCACATGATTAAATTTTCTAAGATTTATGAAAACACTCTGGAACATTGCAAACTGTGGTTGTCGTAAATATGATTTTATTGACATAATATCTAATCATACATTCAATTTCAATTGAGCTGAACAAAGTGTTTTAAATATATTCCAGTAATATTTGTATGAGACTTAAACGGAGATCGCTTCATATATCGCTTTTCCGAAGGTTTTAAGTCTTTCTTGGAAAACCTAGAATTTTTAAATACAAATTCTAAAACCAAAAGAGGACGGAAAAGCAAAGCATCTCTATTATATAGAAAAAGAGAACAAAATATATAATGTATTGTTCATAACATTTATCCCACATATGCGCCTTTCCAACACTTGATATGTATAAAAGCAAACAATGTAACAAAATGTTGCAAAATGTTATACATTCTTATGTTTGGTATTTGATTCACTATTAACAGATCGCTTATGTTTAGATTCCACATTTTCTGGCATCGTTTCCATCGATTCTCGTTTCGAGTTAGGAAGTCCTGGAAGCATGTTACCATCTAAATCACTCACATCTCTTTTATAATTGTAAAGATTCATTCCACCCAGGCTACTTAGGCCTCTCTTGTACCCATGTAAACTAAACCCACCCAGCGAACTTAAGCCTCGCTTTGAAAATCCACCGTGGAGTGACATACCACCAAGTGAACTTAAACCTCGTTTGGAAAATCCTCCGTGGAGTGACATACCACCTAGGGAACTCAGACCTCGCTTTGAAAACCCTCCATGAAGTGACATACCACCAAGGGAACTTAAACCTCGTTTGGAAAATCCACCATGTAGAGACATGCCACCCAGTGAACTAAGACCCCGTTTCTTGAAATCACCATGAAGGGACATTCCACCCAGATTGCTGAGAGCTCGCTTATTAAAGCCTCCGTGTAATGACATTCCTCCAAGAGAACTTAGCCCTCTCTTGTAACCATGGAGGGAAAATCCACCTAGGGAACTTAGAGCTCTTTTATAATTATGCAATCCGAATTCACCCAAAGAATCTAACCCTCGTTTGTAATAGCTGTGGAGAGCCATTCCTCCTAGGTTACTAAGCCCGCGTTTTAAATTGTGAAGGGACATTCCACCTAGTGAGCTAAGCCTCCGCTTTGCAAAGTTGTGAAGATTTAATCCTCCGAGAGAATTCAGTCCTCTTTTGTATCCATGAAGGGAAAATCCACCTAAACTGCTAATAGCTCTTTTCTCGTTGTCACTAGAGAAATCCTTGTCATCAAAAATTTCGTCAATCTTATTCTCTGATGGAGAAATTTCTTGAATAAAATCCAGAGAATTTTCTGGGGTATTGTTGTCAGTTTCGATAGGTTCTGGTTCCTGTTGAAAGATATCTTCTAGATTGTCTCCCGCTTCCCTGTAACCCTTATGTACGATGGTGCCACCTAGGTTATCAAGGGGAGGTAATGTAGTCATAGAGAGTGGTGCAGGTGTGGTGAGAGTCCAGCCCATAAGTAATTCTAAAAGTTGACTGTCTTCTGAAGGATCGAAGCTTCGAGTCTAAAAGGAATTAAAAAAAATGGTTTATATATATGTTTGAGAATGTTTTTACCAATATAGAAAATCGTTCAAATATGCATAGAAAATTTAAAAAAACACATTTTACAGATGTTTCTGTAACAGTTGATTGCCTTACAGATAAAGATCTTTGAATATATTTTATTATTATATATTATATCAACACTGTCCAAATTCTGTCCATGTAAAAAAAAGTATTCTTTTGATGCTCTTAAATCATTTATATTTTATGTAACGTCTTCATAACCATCGCTGCTTTCAAGCAAAAAGAGTAAATGCCAAAAAGAAAAAGAAAGAAATATGATTGCATGAAAAATACTTTGGATATTAAAATGGAACAAGTAATAAGAATCTTTTATTTGAGATGTCCAGTTTTATTCAGTAATGAACTTGTTATTTCATGGCTGGATGGCTGGGGATAGAATTATGGGTTTTGTAATTATACCGGAGTGGCGATTCCTTCCATGGCTATCGTAAACTTGTCCTGCGGCTTATTGGATTACTTCAATCAAGATATAAATGAATTATTGACACTAGATGTTCTCCCAGAAAGACAATTCTCCGGTAGCCGGCGACTAATTAGAGACCCCAACTTTACGTCAATACCTATGTATTTGACCCTTCGGGGAAGCTTAACGGAATCACGTGGTCAAACAAAATAGAAAGTTGCAGGTAAATTGCATGCTTGTAAGTATAGAACTATGTTAGCGAAAGATTGCTATTGATATGAAATAAATATAATTTCTGGCGATGGTTATGTTTCATACACATCAAAGAAAGAATTATTTCTCTCGTTGGGCAACAAAACTTTTTTAGTGATTTGTCTTTATTTGAAGAGGCTTAACAATCATTTTCTAAATTCTCAATATTCAAAATCCCTTCATCTGAGTTGATGTTTTATTTAGGCGTCAATAAGGATAGGTTAGAAATGGAATCCTAAAAGAAACAGATTTAAAGAGATAAAAACACTATTGTATGCATTATTTACAAAACAGCTTCGCAGTTATTTACAACTTATTTTATTCAGCAATTCCTCGATCGAGTCATAAAATGGTTACAATCGAATTAAAAGTCTATTACAGGAAACAATTGTATAACTAGTGGAGACCAATGGCTGAATGTTAGGGACTGTTGATTGGCCTTGTTACATAATTTATCTGTGTGAAAAATCGGTTTCTTAATGTAACATCTTATATTTATAGACGGCAGCAGTTCTGGGCCTGTTTATGGGTGTCATGTAATCAGCTGAAATACATAAATGATTGATCTCTGATCTTTGCTTAATTCCTACCGATCTTCATCGAATAAGATTATAATGCTAAGAACTTAACCAAGAGTACATGCTATTTCTCATGTCGTTTTTACTAGAGGACACCCTGATCTTGAATTACCAGGGATCGACTTCGAATTTGATCCAATAAGATGTTAATTCCAAGAACTTTACTATCTCCTGTCATTGTTGACTAAACAAATAAAATGTTTCCTACACGGCTTATATGAAAAAAAAATCTGCATTATTACTGTATTGAAAAAATGCCGGGGCATTGTATTTACTCCAGTAGACGTAAAACAATAATTTTAATATTTTGTTTGACTCTTACCTTACCAAACAAAGCAAACAATTTTCTTTAATTATTATCCTCTTGTGTTATTTTTTTAAAATTGAATTTCATTAAAATCCAATATTCATTATATTAAAATCTTAAACCAATAAAATCAAAACTGATTCAAAAGTACTCTTTACAAAAATTATTATCTTTGACTCAAAAAGACCCTGAGAAAAGTTAATGTTTAAAATTTTAGACAGAAATCAACTTAAACATCAAAACTTCATCTTATTGGGTTAATTAACATATTTTTATAGGCTTTCTACTTTCAGAAGCAGTAATTTTGAACATCACTTGACAGAAAAAGCATATTATATATTTATAAACAGGAGGCTACTTATGAAAACTGCTAGTATCATTAGAAAATATGAGGTTTTGTCATTGAGAAAAAGTAACAAATATGATATTTATGTTATTTATCAAACATTTTAGATAAATATCTCATAAAAATCTGAATAATTTCTAAACTTAATTTATATGTAGTACTAAAATTTTATGATTTGCATGCATATCTAAATAAAGATATTTTTGCTGACCTGCAGCATAAGTTGATGCGAAGCAATCCTTATACTAATAAAATGTACTTTCCCCTTTCCTCCTATAAGTTAAATTACTTTTTTTTCAATGAATCATAATTTTTCAGGGTTTATTGATACAATACCTATCACTATATACACGGTACCTATGAATATGACAAACATTTTTGTTGTGTTGCAGTACGACTAGTTAATTACATGTATTGCACAAAAGGGTCCTAATCGTATACAAACGTATGTCTTTCACAGACTACGAAGAAAGGGGCAAAACCGTCACAAACTCATGCAGAAGGGAGAATATTGATTTTTTTGGAAACCTCAGGCAGTGTCCAAAGCGGAATAACTCAATCGGGTTCTCCCGAAGATAATGGTTTGTTAGCTTTTTAAGGAATCACTGTCAAGTTTGTTGGGTATGCCAGGGCTTCAACGATAATTAGAAAAGTGGGATAAATTGCTTACATGTAACGGGCTAATCCCTTTAAGCATAAATTTCCCCACGTTTCTGACTATTTTTAATGTCCCTGGCATATCCAACAATCTAGACAGTGATTTCTTATATTTCCATTTCACTATGAAATAAAACTAAATTTAGATGTGAAAAATGTTTTCTAAAAGATTTAAATTACACGAGACGAGGCCTTCTTTGCCAATTGCAATAGTCCCCGCCCGCCGACTCAGACACAAACACAGACGCATGAGATCTACATGCATTTTAGGCCTTCTTGGCCTAAATTGCCGAAATTCGAAATTCACATGTATATTCCGGTTGAATTATTAAGAAATCATCTCACCTAACAAGAGTTATCACAAAGAAAACAAAAAGAAATTGAAATATGTTTAGTTCAACGTCCCTCTTGAGATTTTTTCAATTGAATAGAGAGGCCACAACTTGCCGATGGACGGCTGCAAAATTAGACTTATGTTTAGCACTCAGGGAAAATGAGCAGAGAGGGATCTTTTTCATGCCAGCTCCTATTGCCACACGTGACCTCGGTCAAAATGGTCTCATCTGAAGGCATTGGGAGTCTAACCGCGAGTAAGAACCAAATCCTTACTCTGCAGCGCTGTAACCCTGCCCCGCGCTTAGATACTGAAACAGGGCGCGTAAATGATACATTCAGCTGTATATGAAGGTGTATTGTTCAAAAATATATATATGTTGAAAATTTAATGTCATTATTGTACAATCATATATAATAAAGTTTTCTCAGGAAGCTATACTAATTATTGAATTGTTCAAGAGGGAACTACATTGTACGCCATATGTGTAAGCATTTGCCGGAGAAAGACTGCTTTGAATTCGAACGTACAACTTGAAGGCAAAATTGGTTTTTGAAACAACATACTATGGAAGACTAAATAGTAAGACTGTATTTTCCATGGATTGTGAACAGTAATTTAAGCCCAAATCTAGCCTCTTCCCCAATTTCCAGGAAGAAAAATGCTGACATCAATAAGTTTCTTTGACATTTTCAACACTTAATTGAATGAAAAAGATACCTTTACACTGCTACAATAAATGGAAACTTTCAAAGTTTCACAATGACTACAACTTTAATTTTTGCATGTCAAGACATCCGTTCCAATTCAGAAATTCATTTTTATATCAATGTATACTGTGTATTTTTATTATAATTTTTTTTGCCCTCATGATTCTAAAAAATAATTCTGCCTCAATGGTAAAATGTAATTCATTTTCAACTACATCACTTCATCCTTTCTTCCCTTTTGGTCATCGAGTTATTTAATGGTTCACAAACACCTTCAAATTTTAAAGGAGATGCGAAGTCAGTATTTTTATACCATATTTCAATATGACAGAAACTTGATTTTAAAACAGATATCAATATTAATGAATATTCAGATTGTTCGAGTTTATTCCTATTTCATTATCATTCGTCTGTTCGGTATTAGGATTAAAAGATTCCGAAGCTTAAATAAATCCTACTAAGAGACCGCAAATCCCTTGAGAATTTTCTTTCCCCCTAAAAATTTAAAATTAAAGCGTTATGCATATTGAGTTTAAAATGAGTCATTAATTTTCTCATTTTAAACGGCTCATTAATAAAATATACAATCAATTTTATTTATCAGCATCGATTAACAGAAATGTAAAATTAAGATCACGATACAGAAAAGGGAGTGTGATTGAGAAAATTATGCAAATTAATTTTCTTGAGAAGATTTTTTTTATTCAATAAAAAGGAATTTTTTGCGGCCTTTTTAAAACAAGGTCAAAAGCGCGTCCTTACATGATTGCTGTTTAGCATTTTACTCTCCTTCTCTGTCATGCGTGGCACAAAGTTGGTAATTCCACAGTATTCCTTAATAGTTAAAGATTAAAGTTAATCATATTATAAGAGAGATAACTCTATATTGTTATTGAAAAACATAATTGTCCATCAACAAATATTCCTTTAAAGAAATTTGTACCAGGCATTGTAATTGTCTAGTTTTTTAATTATTTCCAATTTTTGCACATGCAAGTGTGTAAAATGCTTTAATTGTTTGAATTTAATTTATAATGCTAATAAGCAGTTCTTTTGGAAAATCATTAAAAGGTTCAAGTAAAATTTTATAAGAGTGAGCAAAAAATCTTGAATCTTAAGGGAAAATTGTTATGAAAAAAACATTTTAAGAGCGTTTCAAATTAAATATAAATTTTGCTATATGCGGAATAAGGAGATAATCTGCTATACGCAGAGTAAGGAGTTAATCTTTGCGGACCCGAATCTCACTGCGGAACGTGGATACAAATGTACCTGACGTCACGTATTTTTCTTCTAAAAATATATATATACCCCAATCTGCATTATTTTGCAGGGGGTAACGTTATATA